CTTCTCTTCTGCCTCTCGCTCCGCCCTCTGCCCCACCCTGTCTCTTCTCTTCTGCCTCTCGCTCTGCCCTCTGCCCCGCCCTGTCTCTTCTCTTCTGCCCCGCCCTGTCTCTTCTCTTCTGCCTCTTGCTCCTCCCTCCCCTGTTCCTCCCTCTCACTGCCCCTCTCTCTCCCCCCTCAGTGAAGAAGCAGGGTCAGAGTGGTATAATCTCCTGCCTGGCGTTCAGCCCAATGCAGCCAGTGTACGCCTGTGGCTCCTACTCCCGGACAGTGGGGCTGTACTCGCTCGAGGAGGGCATCCCCATCGCCGTGCTCACCGGCCACCAGGGCGGCGTCACTCACCTGCTCTTCTCCCCCGAGGGGAACTTGCTCTACACCGGGGGGCGCAAGGTGAGGGCATCTCTCTCTTCCCTCTTCTCCCCCTTTTATCCTTCTGAAGAAAAGACTGAACTTCTGACTTGTCCTCTTTATTCCAGTTTGTAGCCTTTGCTTTGTTTCTGTTGTGACTTGTTTCTGAAGTGTCTCTCTCTGTCTCCATCTCCCAGGACCCAGAGATCCTGTGCTGGGATCTGCGGGAACCGGGCCGGGTTCTGTTCTCTCTGCGCCGGACCGTCGCCACCAACCAGAGGATCTACTTTGACCTGGACCCGTGAGTCTGAGCACGGATACACGCTACACACATGCAGGACACTTCTGCATGCTCCAGACACACACGCGCGTCCTGCGTGCTGGGACACCTCTGCACACGCCAGACTCGCACACGCCTCCTTCGTGCAAGCTCACCTCTGCACACATCCATGTACAGGTTGCAGCAATGTCGATCGCACTGCATACACAATTACACACTGAAAAGTGTTGCACACCAGTGCTGACCTCCTGTAACTGGAGCATGGTCATTCCCTGCCGGATTAAAGACTGGGGTTGCACTGATCGGATGTCCTGGTTTACCAGGGACCTGTCTATCTGTCCCAGCCAACAGGAGCGAGGATCTTTGTGGGAGTGGACTTGTGAGAGACAGGGGGGGTCAC